GCAGCAGCAGCAGCAGCAGCAGCGGGAGACGCAGCAACAGCCGTACCGGCAGCCGGGGCAGAAGTTTCAGCGGCAACTGCAGCAGCCTAAGCAGGCCCCATTGGGAAGAAGTACCAGCTCCTTATGAGAATTTGGCAGCACGGTCATAGCAGGTGCGGATGACGGCACCTTAGGAAGCCAATAAGCCAGCAGGGTGGAATGACACCGCTGGTGTCACTTGTCCACACGGAAGCTGATTAGGGATGCTTGATAGAATAATCTGCCGTGCTAAAACTGCGTTTGTGCTGCAACGATTGTGATGTGTGATTGCTTTGGCAGATGTACTCAATGGTGTAGGCAGGCTAGGATATATGAGTACGCGTGCATGGATGTTGACAATTCCCACCTGCATATAAATAAATTGCCTTGTATTTTCCTGGATGACGCTCCATGTATACAACACGAGAGGCGAAGCTATACAACCTGCATATGGGCAATAAACAAAGCAAGGTCCTTTTTCAGTTTGACAAAAGCAGCATTAATCTAAACATGGCAAATAGTAGGAAACAAAGTTGTAACTTCAATCTATGCAGTGAGATCTACAGTGCACACAAGCATTATCTTCAGTAATACATAACGGTTAATTAATCGGGGGTAGAATTTGTGATTATACAATATCAAAAACTCTTTCAATTCTTGGTTAGCAGCGATGTAACAAAACACGATTTCGCTACAAACAGGCAGCCAATCGGGCACCGAACCTTTCGGCTCGATTTCCCGAGCAAGAGGTAACAACAGAGTCACCTCGAACACCGACCTGCAGGTAAGCTGAGGGTCACATCGGGGGGAAGTTGTGAACTTTGACCATAGCCCGAGTAGCACCTCGAGCTAACCTCCAGAGAGGTTACCCCGGGGCGACTTTAGGGTTAGCTCAAACTAACATCCAAGGCCCAAAATTTTTGAGACGGAAGCGAGGGCGACGGGCGGGGAAGCGGCAAGGGCGACAGGCGAGGCGAGGGTAGTAGGCGGGGGAAGCGAGAGCGACGGGCGAGGGAACCGACCTCGACGGGCGGCGAGGCGGCGAGGGCGACGGGCGGGGTGAGGGCAGTGGGCGGAGAAAGCAAGGGCGACGGGCGAGGGTCGCGAGGTAGGCAAAGCGCTCTCTCATCTCCTCACGCCCATTTTCTCCGTGCTTCGATTGAGTATACAAGCTGCACCTACTAATTCCGGTTGTCTAAATGGCGCTCACTCTAAAACCCTAGCTGGTGTGCGATGGTCGGATACTTATAGCGAGTGAATGAGTATGTTTGCTTGTTCTGTCGCACCAGTTTTCTTATGCTGTTCTTTCCCTCTGGGGTTGGTAGTATGCGGGTTGCCTGCGAACTGTTTGCCTTACGGGAGAGTCGCATCAGGTTTCGCTAACCTGCCACCTTTCGCAATTCCTCCGCACCTCATTTTGCCCGAACCCCGGACCTACCAAACCAAGCGTTGACTCAGTTTTTGTAATTCAGGCTTCGGGTTTTAAGAAAAAATCGCAGTAGCAGCAAGATTGCACTAGCCGGTGCCTCTTCCTTCCTCGACGTAGTCGGCTCTTTGAGATCTAGCAGCGTGTTTGCAGCAGTACAGAGAAAAACTTAACTACTCAAGTTATATTTGAACAAGCAAGAACACTCGGTTGTATATAAATCCTACTCAACTTGGTTCTATATATACTCGGTTTTATCAGTAGGACAAAATAGGGCGTACTGATTTTCCCTAATGTGTCCTAAGTTCTTCAATTTTAGTTCTCGTAGCGCGAGCATATTTCGACTTTCCCTCCAACTCGTTTGACAACTTGGCACAGTCTTGATGCATTGCCGAAACAATTCAACATCCGCGCATGATCGATTTCAGGTGCCAATTCGAGAAAAATATGTTCACGCCACTTTTGAACGGTCGTGATGAAGTCCGTTCAATTTTGCACGAGAAAGAAAAAGTCGGCGGCGATCAGCAACTTGATCAGCAAAGCTTTCGACCAATCAACTGACGAAGTCAGTGCGAGTGCCCGCGAGTCAATCTCGTCATCCACCTGGTGCCTAAGTTGCCAAATACGCTCAGACCCTAATGCGTATAGCGTATATACGCTAGCGTGTAAACGCAAAACGATATACGCTAGCTAATACTCTATATGCAGTCAGAAAGTTTTAGGGGCTGGCCGGGATAAAAACATTGTGTGTGTACAGAAAGATGCGTATACTCCTGCTAAGCATTTCGCCGAAGTCGAAATGCAATTCGGCGGTATAGGGAAGCGGGAATGTCCCTTCAAAGTTTTCAGTCGTGCCTGGCAGTTCAAATTTGAACATCCGATTAGTACCGCATTGAATCCCATCGCATCTATGAACTCCAACCTGTCAATTACCACACAAACCCCACTCACGCTACTTACCAGCCAGCCAGCCCAACAGCACTCGTCATTTCCTGTTTACGTTCCCACTTCCCAACAGAGTTCCTTCCGACTCCTACTCCACTCCCTTGAGTCTACTACACATCCCACCCTAATCAAAGTTCTAAGTTAGGAGAATGCTACGAAATTCTTAGTGAGAAAAGGGAATACCTTCCCGATGTTGAGCGCGACGTTTTTTCACCCTGCCCCGGAAAGTTTTGCCCTTCCCGAAAAAGCGTATATCAAAATCGACCCCCTCCGCGGATAGCGTACATACGCTAGCGTATATACGATACGCTTATATGCGCAATTAGCGTATTTGGCAACTTAGCCTGGTGCTCGCCATGTGCCTAAAACACTCGTATCGTGAACAACAGTGCACAAAAAAGCAGCTGCGAGCTTGCCAATGAAGTCTTAACACGAGCAGCAACCTATCGGAACTCTCCAAAAGTGGTGGGCACGAGCAACTGCTCGCTCGCTGACGAATTGAACTCGCCACGTGGACAATAGCCAATCAGAACCACTGAAATAAGCGGTGGGTGGCACGAGCAGCTTGCTCGCTTGCTCAACTGAACTTTCCGCGCGGACAGCAACCAATCGCAGCAACAGAAAGCATCGCAGCGCGAACAGGTGCTGACTCATACCAAGAGTCAAATCCATTTGTTGTGATTGACTTGGAAGTTAAACTTCATTCTGAACAGCGCCCCTGATCACTCACTTATAGATAACTCGATATCCAAACTCACCTGCTTGATACATTCCCGCAAAATCGATTGATTGATGTACAGAAATTGCTTCTGTAATCAAAAGAAATGGCAGTTGTTGTTTCATCAGTGCAACCAACCTTTGTTCAAGGTCACGAATGAATGTCTTACAAACTTGAAAGGCTCTTGTGGCGCAGTATAAAGTCTGGGAAGGTTCCAGTGAAATGGTTGTCCCCAACATCCCTGAATGAGGACCAAGAGATTGCATACATATAAATTTCATCAACGCACACGTGTTCACAACACTAACTGTCGCTGCATCCCACCCACCCAGTTAGGTGCGAGAAAAGGGATTGCTGCACTGATGAGGTGAGAGATGGATCGAGTAGACTCACAGGCTTATGAGGGCACTGATTTCTGTCACGGACACCGGAAGCACACCTGAAAAGTTGTTGCTATTGAGGAATCTGTAGAGCCATTGTTGGAAAGAGCATCTCAACTCAGATGTTATAGGCAACGAAAGAGGTGAAGCGATGGAAAACAAGGTGAGGGCCAATAGGAGGCAGCAAAGGTGGGTAACAGGGCAGAACACTCACATGTGTTGGAGCCACGTCATCTGAGTCACCACATCAAGGCCTGAGCTGAGATCGTTGCCATCAATGTCCATGTCAAGTGAAACGCACTCGCGCGCACACACATGTAAGCGACAACAACCATAATTCTGAAAACACAGCAACTGGGGCCGCACAGCAATGAACAACCAGTAACTTGTGAGGCCCCGGAAATCATTCTGGTAATGCAGCAGTTAAGAGTCATGGGGTCAGGTCAGGGGCAGGTAAAAGACGGGAGCACAGTATGGGGAGAGACATACAGAAGGTTCATGCCAGTGAGGCGAGTGAAGGTGCTGGGAATGCCTCATGTGAACCAATTGTAGGATAGTTTACTGCAGCCAGAGCGGTCGAACAGGAACCATTGCAGATTAGAAAGGTATTGACACAAAATTTGAGCAATGGGGCTAGAAAGATAGTGCAGGTGGCATATATACATGGAATTGTGAAGATGAGCTCATAAGAAATGGGCAAACAATAGGGGGTCTCACAGTGAAGTGAGGTTGGGAAGTACTAGGTGTGGTGGGATGGGCCCAATGAAGCTATTGTAGCCGAGCATTCTGGAGAGGCAGGACATGAGAGGCAGGCAGAGAAACATTTTGACGTTTGGGTGTCACTCCTAAAGAGAGGTGTGATGTGATATTAAGAAAAGGGGAAAGTTTGGACCAAAGGATGCGAGGTCATGGGAAATACGCGGGGCAAGAAGGGGGGTTTTGGGTGCAAAACGTATTTTGCACGTCAACCTGTCGCCTGCTCGTCGAGCAACCTGCCTAATTTGTGTTGTGTAAGATGCACATTTGTGTGTTTTTATTTGGCGGTTTACGGTTTATCGCCTTAGCGGTTCATAAGTTATGTGCATTTTAGTGTGAGGTTGCATTCATAAGTTTTCATGACCGCTCATGTATTTTCATCAAGGTTAAAAAATACGGCCATCGTAAATTACGGTTCGTAATTTACGGGCGTAAATTACGGTGGTTTTGGAAAAAAAACGGCCGTTTTTTTGTTGGAGTTTTGTTGTTTTTTTTTTTTCAGAAACTTCTAGGCAGCTTACAACGATGACAAGGAAGCCTACAAGAAACTACACCACACTATCTAGGCAAATCTGCACCTAATCCCTCCTCTTCCTCCCTCCTACTCCTCCTCCACCTCCTACTCTTCCTCCACCTCCTCATACCTTTCCTCCTCCTCCTGGTCCTCCTCCTCCTCCTCATCCTCCTCCTCCTCCCCACTCTCACGATCACTGCAGTCCCAGGGCCGGACTGCCTTAGGACGCTTGGAGGGTCCTACCTAACGCCCATTGCTCTTTGCCGCCTCCTCCTCCTCCTCCTCCTCCTCCTCCTCCTCCTCCTCCTCCTCTACAGGCTTCTTTCCTCTCCCCTTCCGCTTGCATGGCCCCTTTCCCTTCTCCTTCCTCTTCCTCTTGGAGCTCTCTCCCGCGCGCTTCTTCTTCTTCTTCTTACCAATGCTCCCAAATACAGTCCAGTCGATGGTGCACTCTTCCACCTCGGCTCCCTCCTCCTCTTCAGCCCCACCTTCATCCTCTTCCACTGCTGCGGGCGGGGGCACGGCAATGCCCTCTTTGAGGGTTCCGTTGGTGAGATCAGCGTACAAGTTCGCACGCGCCAGAGTTTTGCGATCAAACGCATCGCGGTTCTTCCTGGTGAAGGCCACGAAGGTGACATCAGTCATCTTCTTGGCGGCGATGCGGTTCCGGTCCCGCCTCTGCACCCGTGCAAGGGCGGACTAGTACCGCTCCACCTCGGAGGAGGTGACTGGCTGTGAAAGGGTCGTCACAGCCAGCTCTTGGAACGCTTGCACTTCCCCACCGAATATCCACCACCACTCCGCATCCGTCATGCGCCCCCCCTCCACCAAGGTCTTGGCTGCCCATAAAGCGTCATCCGACCCGAGGTGGCCCTCACCCTTGTGGAACTGCACCAGCTGTGTCTGCAGCTTGATGCGCTGGGCAACATCCCTCCCCCCCGGGCTTGAATCACCTCGGCGGCCCCCCTCCTTACCTCCGCATCGGTTCTCACCTCCCCCGCGTATTGGTTGCGGGGATTGAGAAGCCATCCCAGGGCATGCAGGGGGTTGTGGAGTTGCCCGTCCCATCGCTTGGCAAGGATGCCCTTGATGGATGCAATGAAGGTGCCCTTGTCCTTGGCCAAAAGCAGGCCCATCTTCTTGATGAAAACCGAGGCTGCTCACGGTGAGGATGGAGGAGTTTTTGTTAACATAGGGAATGGCAAGCGCGGATTGATCTTGCATCACAGATTCGGAACAAGGAATAGAAAAAAACATAAAAGAGCTTTGCACTTACTGGCGGCATCTGCAGCTTCCCGTGTCTTGACCGTGATATGAATCATGAGGCCATAGATTTGGCCCATGACTTGTGCCCGCGTGGCAACCACCCTTAGCACTTCATAAACCGGCGTGAGGAGGCGGAGCACCGCCGTAATACAATCCCAAAAGACTTCGTCTAGAAGAAGCGTCCGCACCTACTGCCCTTCAACCTGCCGCGCCACCGTCACCCCTTTCCATTCATCGCTGATGACCATGGACTGGAGAGTCCTCTTCACCTCCAAGGATCGACGTAGCATGATGACTTGAGTGCCGAACCGTGTCGCACCCGGCCGCACCAAGGCAAGCTTGGTAAAAAGGTCGCGGAATAGAACGACGGCGGAGGCGCTACCCTTGATCATCATGACGACACGATGCACTTGCTCTAACACGCGTTTGACTGGCCGAACGTTTCCTAGGTTGTGAAGCATAAGGTCCAAACATCGGGCGGCGCAGTTGGTGAAAACTACCGAGGGAAACTACACCTTAAGCTTCTCAGCCGCGGATCGGTTGCTAGATGCGTTGTCCATGATGACCTGGACCACGAGGTCCTTCCCCACTTCGGAAATTGAGTTCTAGATGAGACGCGCGAGGTAATCTCCTGTTTTTTTGGCGGTTTTCGAGTTGACGATGTCCACAATGACAGGCGCGGTGTCGTTGTGGGCGATGACGCACACCATCCCGCGGGACTTCATGCACGTCCACCCTTCCACCGAGAGACTGCACCCGGTCGTCTTCCAACTCTCCTTCAACGGCCTTACAAGCTCCTCGGCGTCCGCCCTTAGCTTGTCAAGGAGAGAGTCGGACACCTTGTAAGGGGTTGGGAGTGTGTAGGGCTTCGCGAAGACGACCGCCGCGTCAACGAAGGCCTGTAGCGCACGCGATTTGGAGACGTTGAAGGCTAGATCATTCTCTGCCACAACTGCCGCCCACATGTAGTCCAAACGCGTGCGGGCAACGGTATCCGCCATATCGCGGATATCCCGCTGCCTAGAACGCCTTGCGGGCTGCATCTCAACCGTGTTGGAGGTAGATGCACGGTTGGAACTAGATGGTGTGGATTGGAAGACCGATCCCTCTCGGCGGCTTCACGAAGCCGCTTGGCAAACTCGGACGGACATGGCATCACGTTCTTCTCCCTTGAACGAGGGGTCCGGTAGATGTGCTCTCTAATACGAGTGGCATTCGGAGTCACCGTAGCAGGGCAATAGCTGCATGTCGCGGTGACTACGCCGTTAGGAGATGTAACCTTCGTCACGTGCTCCCACACCTCCAAGAAGGGTCTAACCATGGTGGAAAACCGATGTTGACTGAATCTGTAAAGTGCCTACTAATATGTACTTGTCGAGTAAGTTTATCGCCCTGCTATTTGTACCTGGTAGGACTTGGTTGTGTTGCTTTGGTGAATGGAAAAGGCAAAAGGGATGAGATGGGATGGGATGGAGATTGGACTAATGCTATTGGTTAAAATTGTTTCGTTGCGCGAAATTGAGTTGTGTCGCGCACGCGGGCGAAAATAACGAAGAGGCCGCGAATCGTCCCACCGACCTGGCGAAACGGGTTGACTGGTGATAACGGTTCGCCAAATGTACAAATTACCGCATCGCGCAAATTTGTACATGTGCGATTCGGCGAAATACACAAACTGACATTTCGAACGGGCAACAGACCAGCAAAACGTTCGCCAAAAAACAAAATGTCGCGCCTCGAGAAATACCTGACATGCGCGACTCGGGAAAAAAAACAAACACGTGTGCATTTGGCCGCACCAATGTCTCAAACTCAGGGTGACGGTTGGGAAATGCCGAAATTCGCTACTGCAAACTCGGTATCAAAATTTCGGTCGTAATTTCGCCCCGAGGAGATATTTTCGCGTCAGTCTTGCGCAAAAATCTGGACCGCGCGTGTGAGGTCCTGATTTCGCGTGTGGGGCCTAATGGCCCATGCGTGTGGCACGTGACTGTTGAGATCGTGAACAGAGGCCTCGATCGCAAACAGACAAGGCGACATGATCCGTCCTGGAGCTGTATAGCGCGACCAGATTTCTTGGTCGTGCGTGATTGCGCGCCTGAGGGGTGCGCGTGTGTTTCGGGGGGTGCCGCGGGATCCCGTAGGTGCTCGGGTTTGACTCGAGATTTCAGTTAAACAACTGACTCTCGAGCCTCGTTTTTTGTGACGTGGCAACCGTTTTGTTACAGGTACAAAACGGTGAAAACCTGTTTTACAGCTGTACAGGTCGGAAAAACGGTAATCCCACACGAGGGAACATGATTGTACATGTGCATTCATGATCGCTCGTGAGAGGAGTCAGCAGGGGCGTTTGGAGGGAGCAAATTTTGAACACAGATTTCTTAAAGAAACAAATCAAGCCAAACGCAACAGACGCTGGACAACCGTTTTCACATGCAGACATGGCGAAGTCCTGGAAATGCAGTTTATCAACCGTCTAGTAGTTTTGTTTGCGTGTGTGCTAAGCGAAATAGAAAATGCGTGCTTATCCTTGAATGTAATCAATCCTTTGTGAATCATTTGAGTGAATATTTTTCCTCTCTCAACGTATTAACGAGAAAGGGATTTCTGCACACGATCCAACTCGACATTAACGCTGTAAAAAAGAGTTTGGGATCGTTCTAGTGTACACGATTGTATTTTCACTTAGTGTGTCCCTCAACAAACACGGACCTTTGGTTACGGGTTGGTTTTACCAGGTACCCGAGGACCCTTTGAGATGACCCCGAGGGGACTAGTTAGAGTATATTAAATGTATGCTTAGAGCTTCTAGATCCAAGATAGTGGTCAACAGGGGGGAGGAGGGATGAAGAAGCTGATAGTGAGATCGAGACAAGAGAGAAGGAATGCAAGACTGCAATGGGGAGGGATGAAGGGAAGAGAGGGACAGGAAAATGAAAATGATGTAGAGATAAAAAGCGTGCAAATCAAGGAGCGGGAATTGGGGGGAATACGGGGTGGGTGTTGCGACTTGGCATGACAGGGTAAGGCACGAAGCCATGAGACGACTTTGTCAAGATGTTGGTGGTGGTGCAGGTGTGAGGTATTGAACCAAGCAACCATGTGAGTGGGAATTACATAAATGGTGGTTGGAGTTGGACAGGAAGTGTGTGTGTGTGTGTGTTACGCCCGGGTGGGATTTGGATTAGTTATAAAATGGCATGGAGCTGGAGGCATTTGTTCGTAAACCTGGGTGAAAGCAATGGTGCAGACCATCCCAGTGAAATGGTGGGTGCCTCCTTCCAAAGGGAGTGCATGGGTACCATAACAGCATGCAGTTCATATGATAATAATTTGCATGATTGGCTAAAGGCATCAATGCTAGCAGAGGCAGTCAAAGGACGCCAGAGGCTGTTGCCTTATGCAAAAGCAGCATGAAGGAAAAGACAGAAGCTTAATCATGAAAGTGTAATAATTCATGAAGATGGGATGCAGAATGTGCTTGGGTTAGGCCTGTGAAGCAGGGGCAGGTGGCGATGGGAAGAGTGACATACATTGACTGGATGGTGGTGGCAAATGCAGGGGGTATTGTGCCAGACAGTTGATTCCAAGATAGGTCACTGCAGTAGAGAGGGGCAGAACAAGTGGTGTACTGAGTGAAGAAGGCATGCGAGAGATATAGACAAGGATGATGGGAGGGAAATGGAGGGGACACAGGAAACTTACATTGCAGTTAAACCTGTTAGGGCGGAGAATGTTGCTGGAATTGTTCCTTCAAATTTGTTGCTATTCAAATCTCTGATAAGAAAGGAAAAAACAATTATTGCGTTCTTCGTTGGGCTGCGAAGGCAACCTGGGTGGATAGAAACCTCGGGAACTGTATTGGATGAGGATTTGTGAACGGTTGTGCACTTAAGATGCATATGGTTTTTGAACAGTGTAGGGGGGGGGGGGGGGGGGGGGGGGGATGGGGGAGGGGGGGGGTTGGTTAGCAGCTCGAGATTCAAGTGGAATTTTACTCGACTCGGTCAAGTTTTTCCGCCTAGTGGGTGCATTTCACTATTGCAACGTATTTGAGTCCGTTTCACGAGTGTGCAAATAAAAAAACATTGTTGCAACGTCTGTAAACATAAGAAACAGAGATGGTGCCACTAATCTTGAACACGAACACTAGTCGTGTATGTTCAATGCGGTTAGGCACTTACAGCCGAACTGAACAGAACATATTCACTTGAAATATTAGTGTCTATAAAGTGGTTTGATGGCATGGGCATATGGCAATGGCAATGGGGCTCATGCTGCTGCCAACAGCACAGCAGTGGGCCAGCGTGAAGATATGGTAGAAAGAAACTGTATGGCAGCATGGCAGGATGGTAAGGTGGTATGGTAAAAAGTAACTCACAGCTCTTGCAGATGGACCAAACTCGCCCAGCTATTGGTCAGGTAGCCTTCCAGGTTGTTTCCGCGAAGGGACCTGCAGAGTGTGGGAGCAGGCAGCAGATGGACGCTTGAGTATAAACTGGTGGGAGTCATGAGAAACAAGGGCGGGAATTACGAGTGCTTTTTCCTGCCCTACCAGAGACAGCAAAGCAGCAACAAAGAGAGTGTGAGCGGGCCACGCAACGGTAAGTTTATCCATGTCACTTCTACAAGACTCACTTGTACATGTCATCTGTTTTTCCAACACCTCAACAGTGCTACTTCACGAGTAGTGTTACGGTGCAATGGAACGAGATAGCAGGGATTGCACTACGTTGTCAAACGAGTACAAAGTATGATTGAAGGCATAAGCGAATAGATCTGTGCGAACATGCAAAGTAACGCAGTGAGTGCGATCTAGCTAATGCGATGCTGGCATCGAGGCTCGGGCTAGTCCCGAAGCGTAGGCCGACACGGCCTGTCCAACGGTGCAAGGCTTGGTGAATAGTGTCCGCGAATGTTGGTGACGCCACGTTAGCAGTAACGGGCGAACAACGGCTGCTGCTGTACGCGATGTTGACGTACGCGGTAAGGAATGCAAAAACAAATCCTTACAAGTAGATTGAAAACCTAAGCCTCAATAAAGTTACATTTAAATATAAGAGCCCATGAGCCACACCTAAGCAAGCATGCTCGCTGCACACCCTAACGCACGAACTCACAAGCTGCTGAGTGCTGCGAGGTGAGAGATGTCGTCATTCAGCAATCGTCCCTGCCGGTGAGGCTCGTCTGTATTCAGGTTCCTGCTCACAAGAAACCTCCGGCAAGAGTGGCACACTGAGACAAGCCCAATCGCAACCTTTGCACACGTGGTTCTCCTTAGCCTCGTGGGGAATGTGGTGTGTTACAATTAGGGTTGAGCAAAGGGCGAACGCGAACATGTTGGCGTTCGCCCTTGCACGAACATGGCCGTTCGGCGAACCGAACCCCCAAAAAAGGGTGTTCGGCGTTCGCCTGTGAAGGCGTGTTCGGGCGAACCTCGAACACGTTCGTGTTCGACACGGGGCAAATTGCAGCAACGCCACGAACACGAACGTGTTCGGGCGAACCTCGAACACGTTCGGGCGAACTATTTAAGCTGGAAAACTAGACCTTTTCGGTTCTTCGCTCATCCCTAGTTACAATGGTGGAGAACGAGATTAAAGTAGGAGGAGCCCACAGATATTGAAGTTTGGAGAGTTGAGTGACCCAATCGGGAAATTCCACGGCAGGAAGATAGGATAGATCCCTGCAGCAGAGGGGAAAGCAACAGCATGTCCTATTTAGAATAGTTTCCTGCAGGGAGGAAAGCAAGAGCTTGTCGCATACAAGCCAATAGAGCTGCAAACATGCCGGCCAGGAAATGGAGAGGTGTTAATCGCGCACATGAATCAACTTTCTTTACCTGCCTGTCCCACTGGTTTGAGTGGAGCTTACAGTGCAGTGAGGGCAGTCATGTACTGAAGCTCTCTGGGTATCTCCCCTGTTGCGCTAATGAGCATGCTGAGTATCCTGCGCTCATGCACATGCAATCAGCAGAAATGAGCGAACTACCATTGGCAACTACGAGCTGGTATGGACCAACTCACATAGTGACATGCAGATTAAGAATAGGAATAAGGAAGAGGATGAGGAGATTAAGAATAGGAATAAGGAAGAGGATGAGGAGATTAAGAATAGGAATAAGGAAGAGGATGAGGAGATTAAGAATAGGAATAAGGAAGAGGATGAGGAGATTAAGAATAGGAATAAGGAAGAGGATGAGGAGATTAAGAATAGGAATAAGAAAGAGGATGAGGAGATTAAGAATAGGAATAAGGAAGAGGATGAGGAGATTAAGAATAGGAAGAGGTTGCCACCACAGTACGTTCTTGCACGGCAATGATGCTTACAGATGCTGAAGGTTACTCAGGTGAGAAAGAATGTGCAGGGAGAACAGGTGCCCTGTGAAATCCGCCAAGCCTACTAGACCCCTGGTTGATGAGATGGAAGCGAGGTATAGGAGAATCCATGGGGGGTGTAGGATAGTAGCATGGGGATCTCCGCAAGGCATGCTGGAGCGATGTGGCATCCAGCGTGGCTGTGTGGGATAAATCTGAAAGCAGAGCGACACTGACTTTAATTCCTTGTAGGCCTTGCATGCTTGTACGAGGGAGAACAGTGTTTGCAGGGCGTACAGTGTTTGCAAGGCGTACAGTGTTTGCAGGGCGTACAGTGTTTGCAGGGCGTACAGTGTTTGCAGGGCGTACAGTGCTTGCAGGGCGTACAGTGTTTGCAGGGCGTACAGTGCTTGCAGGGCGTACAGTGTTTGCAGGGCGTCCAGTGCTTGCAGGGCGTACAGTGTTTGCAGGGCGTGCAGTGCTTGCAGGGCGTACAGTGTTTGCAGGGCGTACAGTGCTTGCAGGGCGTACAGTGTTTGCAGGGCGTGCAGTGCTTGCAGGGCGTACAGTGTTTGCAGGGCGTGCAGTGCTTGCAGGGCGTACAGTGTTTGCAGGGCGTGCAGTGCTTGCAGGGCGTACAGTGTTTGCAGGGCGTACAGTGCTTGCAGGGCGTACAGTGTTTGCATGGCGTACAGTGTTTGCAGGTTGGTGAGGGAGGAGAGCCAAGCCAGTCCCTCCAGAGTGCCAGTCAGCCTGCTGCCGTCATAATACCTGATAGCTCTGAGTGCACACAGACGTCGCATCCATGAAGAAGTTGAACACAGGCAGGGTTCACGTGGCACATCCAATGGGAAATTGGAACACGTGCCACCCACATAAAGTGTAGGAAACAGAAAACGTTTTTTTGAACGAGCGGCAAGCGGGAGTACTTGTTGGGGCGACTGGCAATGAATGGCAAACGAAAAGGTACAGGAAGTACAAAGCATGAGGTGGAAGCGAAAACCAAATGAACCCCATCCCATCTTGACATTAGGTTCAGAGCAGGGATTGAGCTAGCAAGTGGAGGATTAGGGCATACTGGTTAAGCCTAGTCCATCAATAAGTCGCCCTGGTTTGGGTTGGATCCATGGAAGAGCAGCACTAACAGGTAGGTGAGGTCGGTGAGACTGGCAAGGGATGGAATGGGTCCCTCCAGATCGATGTTGTTGGTCAGATCGCTGTGGGATGGGAGTGCGGGAACAACAGTGGAGAAGTCAAGAGAACAAGAGCGGAGAAGGCAACAGAAAGATAGAATGGCGTCTTGAGATATATGGCACTAGACAGGTTACAGCTTGTGTCTGGCTAGTGCACAAGGGAGGCATGCAAGGGCAAGAGTGGGGGTATGGTCAGTTGTGGCGTGGACGAGATGGAAGGACAGAGCATAACGAGGCTGGCGCATGGGAAACGAAGGGCATCGTGGAGGAAGAGGGTGGGTGGGTGGGTGGGTGGTGACGGACAGGTATTGCAGAGTGGTGAGAGCAGTGATGGAGGCAGGTATGAACCCAGTGGGGGGAGGATCCACATGCACGAAATTCTTTGCATCCCTGCCAGCCAACACACGCATCGCATGCATGCACACACTCAATACCAGCTCCCATTCCCCCCCCCACCTCCCACCCCAAATCCCTTCCCCAGCATCCAGTCCCCCCCCATCCCGCCACCCCACATCCTCCACATCCAACCCATTCCCCTCCTCGTTTCGGTTGCGACTCCCTCCATGCTCCCGCACATAGTAGAATTCATTCCATTCAATAAATACTATTATTGCAAAGAGGAACAGCCAATGGAAGGGTGAAACACTGAAACACAGGTGGGGCAACGGGGCACAAGGCCAATGAGGGGTGAAGCGAGGGGTTGTTCAGAGGTGGTGGGAGGGACAGGCAATTAGAGCAACGAGGGGCAATTAGGGCAACGAGGGGCAATCAGAGCAACAAGGGGCAATGAGCCTCACAAGGCAACGAGCCTCACAGGGAAACGACGAGCCCTTTGGGGCTGCAGGTGACGCCATCCCATGCAGAGCACGTCGTGGTGGCGTTGCTGTTGCTTTCCCACACGCCCCACGCCGCCTTCAGCTGCAGCAGTGCCTTCACTGCCGGCACAACGGGGAAATGGGGGCATATTTACTGTAGCAAAAAAAGGGCGGGGGCTTCAGTGTTGGCACATGCGCCTGGTTTGGTGTGACGTCGCACTTTGAAGAGCAGCCCGTGCGCGCGCAATTTTCTCGCTCTGCTCATGAGAAGAGGAGCTCTGAGTGCGGACTCCGGATCCCATTTGAAGTGGGATGATGATATCGCGTGAGGAAGCTCGCTGAGCTCTCAGAGTGAGGAACCGCGCTGACAGCTCTCAGTGTGAGCTCTCAGTGTGAGGAAGCACGCTGAGAGCCTGAACTGGAAAAGCCGACTCACGTTGCGAGCTTTCGAGAACGATTCCAACGCTCGCGTTGGCCGCGGCAGCGCCGCCGGTAGCGGCGAGCTTCAAAAGAGAGCGTTGGGCACGGCTGGGCCGAGCGCGAGACAGCAGGCGTTGTTTGGACAGAAGCCGCTGTGGGACATCTCGCCGCGGCGGTGGGCGATTAGTAGTACTACTAGTAGCGCTGGAAAGGGAGCAACATCGGAAAAACAAGGGGGTTGGAGGGGTAGGTTTGTTTTCAGGTGCTTCAAAGTAGCTCGACTCAAAGTTACGCCGTAGCTACCTTTCAGTTGCTTTCAGCCTGGGCGCTTCGAGAATCGGAGGGATGATGCAAGCGTCAGTTTGCGTGGGGATTACGTGGACTACTATAACTGGTGTTCGATTCATACCTACGGGAAACCTGCTGCTAGCGAAATGGTAGGCTTCGTTTGCAGTTCCTTAGTTGTACCTCGCCAATTTCGCACGATCAAGACATTCGGCTTGGATTCTCAACTTTTCGAAACCCTGTAAAAGTCGCCACTGTACCTTGTAAAAGTCGCAGCTGTTGCGCATGGTTTTATAGTTGTAAAAACAATTGCATGGTCTGTAAAATGAAAATTGTATTCTATGAAACATTCTATATTACGATACTATCAGTTTCGTTCACACCCATATTTGATAACTACGCAGGCTATTGTTTTGTTGGATTGGTTAGATGTTTGCACTCATACAGATTCCTTTGCAACGAACCATTTGTATCTTCAACAATATGCCCAACGATTCAGGAGCTCATTGCATATGTAGGAGAGCTGGCTAAGAATTCAGGCCATGCCCATCACTCTATCATAGTTAACCATGCCGTTGCATCAAGTGCGATGGGCTGTTTTTTCACCCATGACACATGCCTTGACGCTTCCTCTCTCACCACTGTGCTCCCGTTCTCTGAAAGCTCCAAAAATGATGTGGGAGCTCATTTCATATATAGAAAGAGCTAATTAAGAATTCAGGCCATGCCCCTCACTCTAGCCTGGTTAACCATGCCGTCGGTCCATAGGTAGCATGATACTTCAACAACGTCGCCTATTGTTGCATATATGTCAAAATACCAAGCTCCAGTTTTCCGAACGCTTTGATTCTTGGAGGGGAGGCTCTTAGCACTACATATAAAGGCCCCATAAAAGTTGATCTTATTCCAACATAGATAAATAACTAATTCATGCTCGTCACGGAACGACGCTCGACCTGGTTGTACCTATTGCTGTTTAATCAATACAACAGCCTTTTTAGGTTTGTTTCTTTTCACCAATAGGTACATTGAGGTGCTATAAACATAACAGCCAGGTTTCAGCACTAATCTCCAAGGAGAATAGCTGCTGTGCTAATTTGCGTATTTCAGCCTGTCAAGGAACGACGATCGACCTGATTGTACCTATTGCTGTTTAATCAATACAACAGGTTTTTTAGGTCTGTTTCTTTCCACCAGTAGGTACGTTGAGGTGCTATGAACATACCAGCCAGATTTCAGCACTAATCTCCAAGGAGAATAGCTGCTGTGCTAATTTGCGTATTTCTGCCTGTCACGGAACGACGATCGACCTGATTGTACCTATCGCTGTTTAATCAATACAACAGCTTTTTTAGGTCTGTTTCTTTTCACCAGTAGGTACATTGAGGTGCTATGAAAATACCAGCCAGGTTTCAGCACTAATCTCCAAGGAGAATAGCTGCTGTGCTAGTTTGAGTATTTCAGCCTGTCAGGGAACGACGATCGACCTGATTGTACCTATCGCTGTTTCATCAATACAACAGCTTTTTTAGGTCTGTTTCTTTTCACCAGTAGGTACATTGAGGTGCTATGAACATAACAGCCAGGATTCAGCACTAATCTCCAAGGAGAATAGCTGCTGTGCTAATTTGCGTATTTCAGCCTGTCACGAAACGACGATCGGCCTGATTGCACCTATCGCTGTTTGATCATTACAACAGCTTTTTTAGGTCTGTTTCTTTTCACCAATAGGCACATTGAGGTGATATGAACATACCAGCCAGGTTTCAGCACTAATCTCCAAGTAGAATAGCTGCTGTGCTAATTTGCGTATTTCAACCGGTCAGGGAACGACGATCGGCCTGATTGTACCTAGTGCTGTTTGATCATTACAACAGTTTGTTTAGGTCTGTTTCTTTCCACAAATTGGTACATTGAGGTGATATGAACATACCAGCCATGTTTCAGCACTAATCTCCAAGTATAATAGGTGCTGTGCAAATTTGCGTATTTCAACCGGCCAGGGAACGACGATTGGCCTGATTGTACCTAGTGCTGCTTGAGCATTACAACAGTTTTTTAGGTCTTTATCTTTCCAACAATAGGTACATTAAGGTGATATGAACATACCAGCCAGGTTTCAGCAATAATCTCCAAGGAGATGTGGTGTTGTGCTAATTTGCGTAATTCAGCCGGTCAGGGAACGACGATCGGCCTGATTGTACTTAGTGTTGTTTGATCAATACAACAGCTTTTTTGGGTCTGTTTCTTTTTACCAATAGGTACTTTGAGTTGATATGAACATACCAGCCAGGTTTCAGCACTAATATCCAAGGAGATGTGGTGTTGTGCTAATTTGCGTAATTCAGCCGGTCAGGGAACGACGATCGGCCTGATTGTACTTAGAGTTGTTTGATCAATACAACAGCTTTTTTTTGTCTGTTTCTTTTTACCAATAGGTACATTGAGGTGATATGAACATACCAGCCAGGTTTCAGCACTAATCTTTAATGATAATAGCTGTTGTGCTAGTTTGCGTATTTCAGTCCGTCACGGAACGACGACATCTCTTATTGCAGTTTTGTTGCAAGATTTGAGTTGCTTCAAGATGGAATCTGAGGATGATATCCATCATTTATATGCTATCTATATAAAGATGGACTCCAAATATGTTATATGTGTACATACGGATTCCAAATCAAACGCGATACCAAATATCAACATGGTAATAAAATCCTAAATTCCTATGGCACCTGATAGCACAAAGCTAATAAACCTTTATATTCGAGATATGGACAAAACCAGTCATGAAACCCATCCTGTGTCTATGCTTGGCTGTTGTGAACAGAATTTAGGTATATTTGTAACCATTTGTGTTATTGTTTATTGGATATTGTTTGTGGGTATCGGATGTATTGAAGATTTATTTTCGAGTCGGACTCTAACCTGAGCATTGTGTACAGTGCGGTCGTGATACCCACAGCAGCGCTGTAACGACTGCCACGTCTGTCGAGCTGGCAAATTGCGCGGGCAGCAGCACTGCGCGCCAGTGCAATATGGGGCGATACATTTTGCAGCACCGACTTCCGCCAATCACGAGTCCATATGTGTTCCATAGTGTTTTTTTCCAGCCAATAGAATTCGCTGGTTCCATGTGCGCCAGCACATACCTTGTAACTCCAAGACACATTCGACCACACCTTGCCTCATCCAGCTTGTCATGCGATGCAGTGGTGGCATGTGTGGTGGAGAGTTCTTTTTTCGGTTGAAACTTTTCTTATCGCAATACTGTACCGTTTTGGGATCTGTCTTGCCTTTTCCGAGACTGAAATGCAAAAACGGTACGGGCAGGCGATAAGAACGATTCCAAACGTTGTAAAATGCGCGCATCATAGGCGCTTGACATTTTTCGAGTTTTGCGATTTGATGGTACTTACTTTTTTTTTTTTGTGCCGACTTTCTGTTTGACATTCCTGGGGTTCCACTTCAACTTCGTCCTCCCTCCCCACCCTCCCTCGCTCCCTCCCACTCTCCCTCCCTCCCTCTCTCCCTTCCTCCCTCCCCCCCTCCCTCCCTACCTCCCTCCCTCCCTCCCTCCCTCCCTCCCTCCCTCCCTCCCTGCCTCATTTTTCTCAAAGCCCCAGAACTCTATCATTCCTCTGCTCTTTCGCTGGGTTGCGTTTTTTTTTTTTCAGACTGTCCGCTAGAACCCTTACTGCTCGTTGGATGTGTCTGCTCGGCTAGTATCGTGTTCCGTCAACTTAAGTTGCTGCTGCGCTTTCCACCAGTTTTGTTTAGCTCACGGTGTGTGTCTGCTTCCTTGTCTGTCAGCGCGCCCCTGCTCTCGCTTCGTCGACGCCAGCTACTACTGCTCTTCCTTCTGCGTTGTTGGACGTCCCCTGGGTAACCCTTAAATGGGTAATGCATGTTTGTACTCCCGATTTTCAAGACTGCAATATTTCATTTTCCTGTTACGTTTTTGTTACGTTTTTTGTTACGTTTCTTCCTGTTACGTTTTTTTTACCAGGTCGTTTGCAAACCTGGCGCAACGCCCAACAACGGAGATACCCAGCTCCCAGTCGTGGCATTTAACAGCGTTCAGCCGCTTGTAAGGAACCTATTCACGCTAGTAATTTGATGATCAATAGTTAGTTTTTTTTTCCTTTCCTCTCGGATGTTGTTTGCAGGTCGCTTATGATACGTGAAGACATCCGACGATGCGAAATTGTCGGGTTATTAAGCGGCTGTGAAGATTCTGGCGGAAGGGTCGAACCTGTAGTAACCTGTTTAGTTACTGCTAAATCCAGTTTTATTTTATGTTCTGCAGGAACCGTTGAAAACGACTAGCTAATGCCTGGTGGCCCTAATAGTTTCATTGTCTTGTTTAGAGTGTCCATGCATAGTGTTACTATCTGGAAAGTGTAATTTGATCTGTTGCTTGCCTAATTTCGTCAGCTAACAATTATTACATTTCGACAGTGCTGGATGTTGAATGACTAAAAATAGTTAAAATGTTCAAACGGAGAACCTCTAATAAAGCATAATTGGAACAAAATTTGAAACAATGCTGGACGAAATACGTAACCAGTTACCCTGTTGTTACCATGTTATGTAAACCAGTTATATGCACGCTCAAATTTTCATACAATGGGCAATTGTAACCAATCCCGTTTTATTAAGTTACCAGGTTACAGAGTTTCAGTTACAATCTGCGTCTCCAATATTTTTATATGGGTTTACTGGCCGAATCAATTCTGTTTTTATCAGCAATATACGACTTCATGATTGGTTCGCATCATGGTGGCTCATCGAATACGCGAAGGCCACGTAAGAACCGAATTGATTCAACACATTCATACTTACAGGAGAGTTGCTTTTACAATTGTGAGATGTGCGGCCTAGATGGAGTAGACGAGATTCACCAATCATCTTCGACTTTGAATTGACACAATGAGCAAGTGCACGCGAGACACGTGGTAGTAGAGTCAAACAACTACGACAAAGTTGCTTTGGTTGCTTTCGAGATGTGCGGCCGCGATTTGTCGCAGCGACTCTCGTCAGTACAGCGTCAATCTAAAACCTACGGGAAAGCAACTCATCCACCCTCTTTGAGGCATGTGCCAGATAGGGTACGTCAAATCAGCTTCACCGCCGGTTTCCCGTAGGTGCTGAAGACCCCATTTTTTCCTATGAAGCAGCGCCGCCCACAGTGAGCGTGAGAACTGCGAGGAGGAGAACGCAGGCTCCGGCATTAGAGCGTGCGGCTGCACGCCCGAGAAAACGCATTTTAGGCGTGCGGACTCAGAATCGTCGTCTGACAAAGGAGAGTCTGGCAGGTCAAACTTCTGACGAACAAATTTGAGTTTAAGTCTGAACTTTGCTGGAAAGTTGCTGCTGGGTTGTAGCGAGGGTAGGAGCTCGACGGGGTGGAGCTGACGGGGTGGGCCGTGCGGTGCGGGAGGTGGTGAAGGAGGGGGAAGAGGTGGATTTTGGATAGGGAGGGGATAGAACACGCTTGCAGAACCAATGCCATCGAGATTCTCCAGATCGGGTTAGGTGAGATTATCTCGAAGCGTGTAGTTTGTGGATGGGAGCATTTGTGGAAAAGAGCCGGCATCTGGAATCGCGAATACTTAGTAAGCGACCTAGCAAGTAACCTTTCGTGCGATTTAAAACGGTCCAATCGTTTTCTTCTATGCTCATGTATGTTACAGCTCGTTACTGTGCGATGACGGTCCGAACTTTATGAGGTCGTGAAGCAATGCTGAAAATCCTTTACAGAAATTTCTTTTACAACTCACAACACCTTTGAGTGCACTTTCAAATCGAACACGCGATAGAAAAATATGAAGACCAAGTAGCTGGCTGCTGCACATTCAGGTCGGCCCAACCGTCACCTAGAGGCAGTACTGCATCGAGTCGAGAGAGCCCAGCGCCATACACTGCCTGTTGCCCCCATCTACCAGCCTCTCCGCCCACCCTCCCCCCTCCTCTTCCCGTCCTCCCCGCCCATCCCTTTTTCTCCCCATCCCTCTCCCGCCCTCCCCGCTTGCTTCCCCCGCCGCTGCGACGCTGCGACATTGCTGCTCCATCCTCACACCAGCACAGAACCGTACAGGTATGTAGTGCAACGGACAGCTTTTTATTCCATCCCCATTCATCATGGCCCAGTGAGGCCTCATCAGACAGATAGCCTACTATTCCCACATGCACGCGACACCAAGTCGTATGTGAAGTCAGGCATCGACTCGCTTCCGAGCTCTCGCCTCTCGCCTTGCCCAGACTTGCTCAGGTAGCCACGAGATAGCAGGCCGAGCGACGCCCGAAATAGCCGAGCGACGCCTCAAGCGACGGCGAATTGGCCAGGCAATGGATTCTCGCTCGTCGTCCGTCGTCGCCGAGTCTCCCGACGACGATTCCGCCTCGCCAATCCATTCGCTCTCCGACGACCTTCTCACCTCCATCCTCCGCCTAGTCCTCTCCGCCAATCCCACCGCATCCGATACAAGCACATCCGATATAAGCACTGGCGATTCTCGCACACCGTACCAAGCGGTTCTGGTCTGCAAGCGCTGGTCCCGCGTCGCGCCTCTCGCGCTCACCTCCCTCACAGTCCTCTCCGCGTCTTCCGCCGCCTCCCCCGCCGCCTCCTTTTCCCCCAAACGCGAGCTGCTCTGTCGCCGTCTCGAGCAAGCGCTGCGCAAGTTTCCGAACCTAACTCGCCTGCACCTCGACAGCCACACGATCGACTTCATCGACGATCGTTTCCTGCGCGCCCTAGGCTCGGCATGCCCGAACCTGACGTACCTCTTCCTCGGCAAGGTTCGGCTGCCGGTTCGGCCGCCGCTCGTCGACGCGGTGAGCGAGGCGGGCCTCGCGAGCGTGTTTCGCGGTTGCCGGCGGCTCGAGCACGTGAGCGTGCACTGCGCGCCGAACATAAAATCCCTCCCCGCGTCGCTCCTCGATCTCTCCGCGCTGCGCCGGCTGCAGCTCGAAGCGCCGAGCCTCAAGCTCTTCCCGGAAGTCTCCCGGGGGAGATTAAGTACGCTCCGCGATTTGCGGCTGCTGTCGTGCAACGCGCTGCCGTGCCTGCCGGACTCTCTAGGCGACCTCGCGGGCCTCACGCATCTGCGCATCGAGAAATCCGACAATCTCGAGCAGCTGCCGGACTCGTTATGCGACTTGCAGCTGCTCGACGTCCTCGTTATAAGCTCCTGCTACTGGCTCACGTCGCTGCCCGACGATCTCGGGCAGCTGCCGTGCTTGCGCGTGCTCGAACTGGACGGCTGCGGAGGATTGCTCGAATTGCCCTGCTCGCTCCCGCAGCTCCACTCCCTCGAACGACTCGTTATAAGCCGATGCGGTAACCTTACATTGCTTCCCGAAGACATTGGGCAGTTACCACTCTTGCGCGAATTGGAAATCAGCAAGTGCCATCGCCTCGTAGGCCTCCCGCCATCCCTGCCCGACCTAGCCCAGCTCGAGTTCCTGGAAGTTTCCGACTGCACGCGTTTAGAGTCTCTCCCGGACGATCTAGGCCGTCTATCCGTTCTTAAAACCCTGCGCCTCGCCTCGCTCCCTAATCTCTCGTCTCTGCCCGAAACCCTAGACCAGCTGACCTGTCTGCTAGAGCTCCAATTAGAAGACATTGACAATCTTTTGGGCCTGCCCGACCCGGTAACGAGCCTCGGGCAGCTGGAAAAGCTCGTTCTGGGGCTGTCCTGCTCGCCGAGCCTGCCCGAATCCGTAGGCGCGCTGAGCCGTTTGAAAGAGCTGCAGCTGCGGCACTGTAAGGGGTTAACGAGTCTGCCTGTAGCGATGCGCGCGATGACGCGGCTGGAGCTGCTGGTGGTGGAGGAGTGCTGCGAGCTGGTGGCTCTGCGCCTGCCGGAAGTAGAGGGTGTGAGTGCGAATGGGAGGGAGGGAGGAAGAGAGGGAGGAGGACAAGCTGTGCACGCAGGATCAGGATTCGGACGGGAAGGATGGGCAGCTGAACAGCAGGGGGAAAGGCAGCAGCAGCAGGGGCAGAACCGGGGGCAGCAGGGTCAGCAGGGACAGCAGATGCAAGAGCATCAGGGTCAGCAGGGTCAGGAGGTTGGGGGGTTGGATGCGGCAGGAGAATCAGGCTCAGCACCGCTCTCAACCACTCTTACTGACGGACTCAGCCGTCTCACCCTCATGACGAAACCTCCTCATCCCTCCTCTCCCTCTCTCCCCGCTTGCACCTCCGCCCTCCCCCTGTCCTCCTCGGCCCGCCTCCGCTCCCTCGTTCTCGTAGGCTGCGCGTCCCTGCGCGCCCTCCCCGCGTCCCTGACTGCCCTGGCTGAGCTAGAACGGCTGGTGGTAACCAGGTGCACCGCGTTACAGTGGGCGCCTGGGAACGTGGCGCGGATGCAGGGGCTGCGGGAGTTGAGGCTGGATGGGTGCAGAACGGTTCTGCTGCCGCCGTCGCTGGCGTGCTTGGGGCGGCTGGAGAGGCTGATTGTAGTGAGTAATGGGTGTAGTGGGAGCGGCGTGGGGCCGGGGGTCGATGTGGGGGAGGAAATGGGGGTGACGATGGGGGACATGAATGGTAGCATGGATGGCGGCAGCAGCAGCAGCAGCAGCGGCAGCAGCAGCAGCGGATGTGTTACAACCAAGGAAGGTGCTGCTGATAGGTGTAGCACTCGAGATAGTGGCAGTATAGATGGTGCTGCCATGGTTGCAAACGCACTAAGCACTGGCAGCAGCTCCAAGGGCTCTGGTGGTGCAGTATCTGCTAGTGCTAGTTCTGCTGCTGCTGCTGCTAGCAAAGCCGCTGCTGCCGGTAGTGGGGGTGGCGGAGGTGAAAGAGGGGCTGCAGGTAAACCACAGAGCATCCCAACCCGTCTGTCACCAACTCGCAATGATACCATTGGTGGTTCTATGGCAGATAGCAGCAGCGGTAGCAGCAACGGGGAAAGCAGTAACCATAGTGGTAACTGCAACAGCACGAGCACAAGCAGCAGCTGCAACGGAGCCAGCAACGGGTTCATCGTTACACGGTCACACCCTCAGCAGCACAACCACCTGCACCCACACCCCCTCTCACACGCACCACTTTCACACGATTCCCCCCCTGCCCTTGCCCCATCCAGTCCAACCGATTGCCCCTCTTCTACCCACGAGCCCTTCTCCTCCTTCCCCGCGCCGCCCCTCGCTCTCCCCCCCGGCATGGGCCAGCTGGCGCAGCTGAGGGAGCTGGAGGTGAGCGGCTTTGACTCCCTCTCCGCCCTGCCGCCCTCCCTCGCCTCTCTCTCCCGCCTCACCCGCCTCTGCCTCACTGGGTGCATCAAGCTCGCCTCTCTGCCTGACCTCCCATGTGGTGCGGTTGCTGCTGGTACTGATTCCTCTTGCTGCTGTGGTTGCCCCTCCTCCTCCTCCTCCTGCTCCTCCTCCTCCTTCAAAACCCCTTCTCCCACTGCCCCCAAAGGTACTTTCTTCCTCCACCTCACCAACCTGAGAGACCTGCAGCTCGACTCCTGTCTCTCCCTCTCCTCCCTCCCCTCTTCCCTCTCCTCTCTCTCCTCCCTCAACCGCCTCCACCTCGCCTTCTGCTCCTCCCTCTCCGCCCTCCCCCCACGCCTCTCCGCCCTCTCCCACCTCTGCTCCCTCAACCTCCAAGAATGCATCTCCCTCACATCCTTACCCCCCTCCCTCTCCTCACTCGTCCGCCTGGAAGGGCTTTACCTCAAGGGGTGTATCCAGCTGAAAAGCCTTCCAGGCGATATCGGTCATTTGCCGAGGCTAAGGGAATTGGATCTGAGGGACTGTGAGGGGCTGCTGGCCCTGCCTGGGTCAATCACTCACCTTACGGGGCTCAAGTGGCTGGATATCTTTGGGTGTGGTAGGTTGGATAAGGACTCGGTTCCTGCTAGGATAGGACAAGCCACCATCTATCGTAGTTAGGTAGGGTGCTTTCATGAGGTTGTGTCTCAAATCTACCAAGACAGTGTTGAAAGGCCAGGCTGAAAAGGTTAGGCCAAAACAAGTCCAACTAAACAAACCTGGACTATTTAGAAGCCTGTGGATTCGAGCAGGTTTCATTGTCTGGTAAGGGTAAGATGTACAGTAATATGAATATGGTGCTTGGGATTTCCGTACGTGAGCAGTTCACATCTATACGAATGCTGGTCAGCATCCATACTTGAACAAGTAGCCCTCGTCATTACAGCGCGTACAGAGTGGAAGTACAATCTTTATTGCATGGCGCGCGACTCGGGAAGGACCAACCCTAATTTCGGGGGTGGTTCAACCTCTCGTTCACCACCACATCGCCTGATCCACCCCAACAAATGCACGTCTCAACGGCTCTCTTACGACTGTCTACGAATGCACCTGAACAGTCTTCCGTCTGTGTGTCTCAACGAAACCAATTCCGGCGCTCCCGTTTTGCCCGTGGGAGCGACGGATCCGTCGCTCTCCCAGCGCCGGGTCGGCGGAACTGAAACCCCGCCAGCTGGGCCTTGTCGGGACCCCCTGCACGCGAACCCACTTCCCCGCCCCACCTGAGCGCACACCCCACGCGCATGTTCTCCATCGGCGACCCGGAAACCAACCTGCCTCCGCGAAAGCAATCTCCCATTAGTTCCCCTCGTTGACGGCGTCCGTCTCCCCTCGCTCAACACCCGTTAGCTCTCGCATTCCTCTCGCTCCACACAACCTAGATCTCATTCCCGCCCAGTTCTCTTCTCGCTCCGAAAACGTTAGCCTGTCGCATTCCTGTCGCTCAAAGTCGCCTGCTGTCGCCGCGCGCATGCGGTCGTCGCTTGCGCGTTTCTCCCCGGCCCGCCTGCCGCCGGGCGTGGCGAGGGTGGCGCTGGGGGTGGCGTGGGTGGCGGGATGGGCGGGGCTGTGCGCGTGGGTGGTGTGGTTCGCGCACTCGCAGGCCGCCAATCCGCGGCAGGAGGCGATGCGAGCGTGGTGTCGCACGCGCGTGCGATACATCCAGCAGGACATGCGATCGTCCGTCGCCCGCGCGCAGGTAAGGCGATCAGCCCAACGCGATGCCCCTCTCGCAGTGCGCAGGTGGGAGCGCCTCATCGCACTGATGCGCGCATGCCATCCGCGCAGGGCCGCCCATCCGCGCAGGTCAACCCATCCGCGCTTGTCCGCCCATCCGCGCAGTTGGTGGTGCCGCATCGGGGGTTTTACTCCTGTGAGTAATTTCCGTTTCTGACCCAGAGGTCTAGGGTGGTACAAGGGTTACCACCACCTAGAGCCTAGGGTTCAAATCCCCGCTGGTCACATTCTCCGCCTGACCAAGTTGGTCGTAATGAGAATTTGGTGCGCTAACCTAGTTTCGTACCCAGTAACCTCTTGCTGCTGGCCTGGCCTTCCCCAGCAAAGTCGCTGCCTTGCCTCCTCACAACAATCGAGGTCCCTGCCAGGACAGGTGGGCAGCAGGTGGACAGCAGGTGGGAAGCAGGTGGGGAGCAGGTGGGCAGCAGGTGGGCAGCAGGTGGGCAGCAGGTGGGGAGCAGGTGGGGAGCAGGTGGGCAGCAGGTGGGCAGCAGGTGGGCAGCAGGTGGGGAGCAGGTGGGGAGCAGGTGGTCAGCAGGTGGGGAGCAGGTGGGGAGCAGGTGGGCAGCAGGTGGGGAGCAGGTGGGGAGCAGGTGGGGAGCAGGTGGGCAGCAGGTGGGGAGCAGGTGGGGAGCAGGTGGGCAGCAGGTTTGGAGCAGGTGGGGAGCACGTGGGCAGCAGGTGGGCAGCAGGTGGGGAGCAGGTGGGAAGCAGGTGGGGAGCAGGTGGGGAGCAGGTGGGGAGCAGGTGGGGAGCAGGTGGGCAGCAGGTGGGGAGCAGGTGGGGAGCAGGTGGGCAGCAGGTGGGGAGCAGGTGGGGAGCAGGTGGGTGCACAGGTGGGTGCACAGGTGGGTGCACAGGTGGGTGCACAGGTGGGTGCACAGGTGGGCCAACTCCCTGATCTAACGAGGGCATTGGCACCAGGTGGGGAGATGGTTGCTGTAACGTCTGTGGACTTACGCGAAGGGCGAAAATGCAACTACTAGACCTCCAAATAACCACGGTTTTGGCCCAGCCCAGTGGTCTAGGCCCTAGGTGACAAGCAGTTATAGAGGTAGCCCCAGTTTGTTTTACCCCCCGTCTCCCTTCTTCCCTCCCACCTTCCTCCCCTTCCTACACCTTCTCTCCCATTCCTTCCCCTACCGTTCCCCCTCCCTCCTCTCCTACCCATCCCCATCCTTCCCCCCACCCTGCCATCCCTGCTAGCTAACCCTTGCCCCTCCGCTCTCCATCATTTTTCACCCACCCCCCCCTTCCATCTCTCCCCAACCCCCCTTATCTCCCCCTATTGCTCCCACACATGCCCTCCTCCTGTGCTCCTTCACTCTTCTTCTCCCGCACTCTTCTCCTGCTGCACCTCCTTCCCTCTCCCGCACGCACACTCTTCTTCCCTCGCCTGAACCTCCTTCCTTTACCCCCCCCCTCCCCTTCTCAAGCCGCGGGCCATTTCCATTCCACACCCCTCTCACTCCTGCCCTTCTATTGGTCCACCAACTCTGAAGCCTCTACCCAGTACCCACATTCCCCCATCTCTCTTCTCCTCTTGAGTTGCATCTCCCCCTCTTCCCATCTCTTCCTTTCTATCTCCCCTCCTCTCATCTCATCTCCCTCCTTTCCATTCCATCTCCCCTCTTCCCATCTCCTCCTTTTTCTATCTTCCCTGTTTCCATCTCCCCCCTTTTCCATCTCCCCCCTTTTCCATCTCCCCCTTAACCTTCCACCGGGCTCACACGCAACAGGAGGCAGTCGGGCTGGTGAAGGTGTGGGCGCACTTTGGGCCGCGCAGCAGCAGCAACCTGAGCTACTGGGGGCTGGCGGGGTGCGTGAACAACAACTCCATTCTGGCGTACTCCATACAATCTGACATAATCCTCAACTACAGCAGCGGCACCGTCATCATGCTCCTCTCTGACCAGGACAGGTCAGATGTGGCTCGGGGTGCTTGCTCTGGTCACACACACACTGTCGTGGGTGGGGGCTGGCGGGGTGCCTCAGCAATGAAACGAGTCTGTGCTGTCATACAACTTACATGCTCATCCCATCCTCAACTACAGCAGCGGCACCGTCATCATGCTCCTCTCCGACCAAGACAGGTCAGTCAGGTCTGGCTGGCTTTTCAGGCACCGAAAACCCTAAAGTCCGGGCCGGGGGGCTTATGCAATGGGCAACTACAGCAGCGGCACTGTCATCATGTTCCTCTCCAACCGAGACAGGTCGGATTTAGGCTGCTGCTGCACGCCCCGGGGCCTGATGCATGTGATGCTTCTTCAAGGGAATATTTTGATCCATCTGCTATTCGAGAAAGGTCCAAGGTAGGCTTATAGCGAGCCGGAACCAGCCAGTTCTCAAACGGAGCCGATTTGGGAAAAGCCGGGCCAAGCTGGAACCGAGTATGGCTGGGATGGCCTTTTGCTTCGTTTCATTCACTTCACACCATGTAAGCCCTTGTCATGCTACCTGTCAGTGTCATCCATGTCATTCGCAGGCATCAAACTTTATGACGGCATGCCGCACTGTCTACGCGTACTAGCAACTAGATGTGCTCGCCACCCGAGTCGAGACGAGTCGGTTTTCCACTTTGCGCGACTCGAGCCCTCGAGTTCTACACTTCAGTTGCATATCCTGGCTCATGAGTAAATCTAGACTCGACCAACCTAGGCATGAGAAATGTGACCGTCAAGTCATTGAGTTGCAAGGGTAGTAGGTTACACTTTCTTCTCCCCCCTCATAGGATTGAAGTTCCCATCCGTTTCGACCGAGTTAAGGTATTTTCTACCCCCTCCGAACCAGTTTGGGTTGTAACATCGAAGCAATGGCTGTCTAGCCCCCACTCACCTGCCGCCGCTACCTCCTCCTTCCTGTAATTGTCTATGAGGCGTTTTGCAAAAATTGAGTGTTGCCTACCTACCGCAGCTCCCACTCCCACAACATCCACTCTTCGATTTACTATTGAGAATTCTCACTAGTAATAACCGTGGGGAAGGCGCCATATGCTATGGTAGGTGACGGAGAGTTAGGCAGGGGAGAGTTTGAGCTGAGATATGATTCTGGTCGTAGTGCCATGTATGTAGTGCCATGTATGTAGTGCCATGTATGTAGTGCCATGTATGTAGTGCCATGTATGTAGTGCCATGATTTGAGTTTTATTCAGAACCAATGTAAATGTCAACACCCATTTCGCCAGTAAACCCATGTAACCGTGGGGAAGGCACCATGCGCTATGGTAGGTGACGGAGTTGGGTAGGGGAGAGTTTGAGCTTAAATATGAGCGCAAGCTCCCTGGTCGTGGTGCCACGTTGTGTCATATCCTCCACTTCGCCCTGGTTCAACCAGTGAGCTCATTTTCCTGCATGCCTCTTTGCACATGCCTCTCGTACACCCCTCTATCCATGCAGGCCACTAGTGGAGAACATCACGGGGTTTCAGATCCGCTCACTGCTGGGCCTGCATGCGTGGTGCCCTGTGCTCCACTTTACCCTAGTCTCCTGCATGCCTCACTGCACGTGCCTCTCGTCCATGCAGGCCACTGGTGGAGAACATCACGGGGTTTCAGATCCGCTCAGTGCTGGGCCTGCCCGTCCCGAGGAAGGATCTGTACGGAGTGAACTTGTGCGGCAGCATCAACCCCGAAGTTTCCCTGCAGCCCTTCACGGACTTGGCTCCCCTCGTCCCTCCGGTCCTCATGGACAACCTGTTCAAAGGACGACCCACCGCCGGGCCTCCTCTCTCCGTTGACTATGTGATGAATGGTTCGTGTGCCCTTCCTGCTTCTCAGTCAACTTCAAGCTATCCAATCCCCTATCTTGATGTTTCTTGTGCCATCCATCCACCCGTGCGCCGTCTGCATTCCTGTATCTTCTTATGTTTCTGTGGCTTTATTTTCAGAGCACGTTGGATTTCGCAAGCGAATGCTGCCGTTCGCCTCATGCATGAGCTGGTTGCTGCAGTCTTTCTGTTTATCTCGCTCCTCATCTCGTCTGTTCTATCTCGTTTGTTATCTAGTGTTGGCTTGTCGATGCCAACTGGTTTTGGAGCTAAAAGTGCAAGGCACTTTTTTGAAGGCATGCTGAGAGTAGGTCTCGTTTCATCTACCATATACTCTACCATTTCGAAAGCATGCACAAAGGGAAAAAAATGCCCTCGTTCGTTCTCAACTAGCCATTCTTCTTGCCATTGTTCCTCCCTTCTCCGCATGGTGTGGTAACCCCATTCGTTCATTTATTCATTGAAACCTATTGTGACAGAACAAACCCTATTGAGTTTCTTTTGACAAAAGGGTGGCGCTTCTTCCAACCGTTAGATGCACCTTCCCCTCTCCCTCTGCATGCACCCTCCTCTCCCTCTGCATGCACCCTCCTCTCCCCGTGCATGCTCCCTCCTCTCCCTCTGCATGCTCCCTCCTCTCCCCAGGCATGCTCCCTCCTCTCCCTCTGCATGCTCCCTCCTCTCCCCATGCATGCTCCCTCCTCTCCCTCTGCATGCACCCTCCTCTCCCCGTGCTTGCACTGCACGCACCCTGCCCTCCCTGCTTCTCGTCGTAGCCATCGTTCCATCTTTCGCCATCCTTTGAGGCGCGTAAAACCCTTCAATGCACCCTCCCCTCCCTTCGTTTCCCTTGCAGCCTTCGTTGTGCCCATCTTCCGCCATCCTCTGCCAGCCAACCCATCTTCACAGCAAATTCGAGACGCGATGAACATTGCATATGGCGGTGTGTTTCATCTCGAGGATAGGACTCGTGAAATACTGCAAATGCTTGAGAATGGTGAGCCTTTTCATGCTCCACGGCATAAGAAGCATCTTCTGATATCCTCTTCGTTTTCCCCCTCGTCTTTGTTGGCCATTATTTCGTTCAAAGTGTCTCGTGTAGGGATGAGCAAGGGGCGAACACGAACGTGTTCGTGTTCGCCCCTACACGAACACCGCCGTTTGCCGAACCGAACACTGTTCGGTTCGGCGAACACTTTGAGCAAAAAATGGTGTTCGCCGTTCGCCTGTGAAGGCGTGTTCGGGCGAACCTCGAACACGTTCGTGTTCGTCGTGGGGCAAATTGCAGCAGCGGCCCGAACACGGACGTGTTCGGGCGAACATCGAACACTGTTCGGCGAGCACTTTAAGCAAAAAAAAAAACCTGTTCGGTTCGCCTCGAACACGTTCGAGGCGAACCGAACAGGTGTTCGTTTTTTTGCTCAACCCTAGTCTCGTGTGTGAATTTCCATGCTTGTAATATACACTCGCTGTTACTGTTCCTCTTGTGCTACTTGCGTCGTAGTCACTTCTGAGAATCCCCAGTTGACGCCCACTTTGTCTTGCTACTTGCTCTCCTTCCATGTGTTCGCGACCTCGCCTTGCTGTCTTGCTTCTTCCTCCCTCGTCTGATTGCAGACAGTGGCCGCACAACAAAACGGAAACAGGCGACCTTAAGCAGATACATGGCCCAGAGAAGCCACCATGGAAAGTTCGTTCTGTTTTCCCCTTTGTGCTGCCCACTCCTGCTTCTGCCTTGCTCTCCTGATGGCAGGCAGCAGCACATACTCCTTCGCCATGTGCGACAGCACGGACAGCCCGGGCGAGCTGAGCTGAAATTCAACCTCTGCTCTTGCTTGTTCCTCCCTCCCCTCTCCTGACGGCAGGCAGCAGCACTTACTCCTTTGCCATGTACGACAGCTCGGAACCGGGCGAGCTAAAGCAGATCTTAGGCCCGGAAAAGCCACTCTTGGAAAGCGGGTCGGTCTTCCCTTTTGTGCTGCCCGCGCCGGTTGCGCCACCGGATCATGTGGAGCCTTTTCCCGAGGACATGCTGGGACGCACATACGAAGCCCACTGTGGGTATGTGCTAGGCGTGGCATGAGTGGGCTCTCTTCCCCTACGTGCTCCCCTATGTACACGTAGCGTAGGTATGAGCAAAGTGCCTGGTGAGGTCGTGTCGGGTTGGGTCGGGTCGGGTCGGGTCGATTGATATGGCAGCTAGTCACATTAATGCGGGTATGTACCCGGTTGACGATGCTGCTGACGAGCCTTCAGTTCTGCTGAACACAATGCAAGTTGTGCTGAGCTTTAACCAACTGAGTCGGTTTGCTGAGGAAGCTGCACTTCACCGATGCAACAACGAATCCACAACGACACGAGCAAAATGTGTACCCATACCAGTCGGTACCGGTCGAACTTACTCGAACCGGCAGGTTTGTCAAGCCGCGCTGATTTGGTTTAGGTCGAACCAGTTAATAGCTTCAACAGTTTAGATGAGAGGTTAGACCATTTCGGTCAAGCCAGAATGCATTAGACTTGAAGGCGCATGGTTTAGGATGAACCAGTTGGGCTTTGGTTCAAGTGGACGATGAACCAGGCCGGTTCGTTGTCAAATGGGTTCGGGTTCAATCAAACCCGTTCGACCGGCTTTGGTTCATCCGGTTCGAGCATTTGGTCTCTGTTAGGGTATGGATGAGCAGACCTCCGCACCGTGGTTCGTTTAGGCATTCCCCGAACCGAACCGGGCTTTTGGGATTGCGGTGATGAACCGGGCCGGTTCTTTAACGAACCGGTTCAGCGGTTGGGTCAGACCGTTAATATGTAATCCGCGAGCCGCAGCGAACCGGTTCGGTTCATCGCGTTACCGGTTCGTGAACGAACTACACTCAGTTCGGTCTGCGACGAGGCGCGAATCGAGTCGCGATAGGGCTAGACGTTCCACCGATAATTATAGCTGGAGTAGGCTCTTAGCCTCTTAGGGTTACGGGTGCCGAGATAGGATACGGTTGTTAGGAAAAAACCCTTCAAAAAACCGCCCCATAAGAATGCGATATAATAAAATGGCACTGCCGAACCGAACCGGTCCGGTTCGTAACCGGGCCGGTTTGGCCGAACTGGTTCGGTTCGATAAGTCTAATAACGAAGCGGGTACTGCTGCTATAGTCGGTACTGCTACGGTATGTTCGTTAATGTCAAAAACAAATTGGTTCGGTTTGGTAATATGCTCATCCCTAGTCCTTGCCGTTCCACTTCCAACTCTCTCTTTCTCACAATCCTCCTCTCTCCCCCCCCTCTCCCCCACTCGCCTCACCCTTCCTCTTCCATCGTAGAACTTTCCTAAGACACTTATTTCCACAGATTCGCCTAGCATGAGCCCTATCTCTAGTGAACGTAGATTAGAACAAAAATATTGACTTAGGCCAAGTATTGGCCTTATGCCCGCATTGTTTGAGCCACGTATTGGCTTATGTGCCCGTGTAGTTAGTTTTCCCACCGTAACTCAAGTGTGTGTACCTTAAAAGGCATCACACACTGCTTGTCACTCGTACTCGAGTGTGGTTGTAGGCTGACATGTGAAACTATAATGAAAGTCAAGGATGAACTGAACCGAACCGGTTTGACCAATCAGGATAGAACCAAATACCACCCATATCACAACAAGCCAGTTCGACCCAAACCGGTTCGGGTTTTTGTCGAACTAGTTCAGGCTTGAGCGCAAACGAACCGATGCCTCGGTTCGTTGCTCATCCCTATTCTCAATGCAGTCCCCTCTCCCAAGTTGTTGCAGTTTCGTCAACCAATTTCTTGCTTGTGCGCATGGTGACTTTCTGTGCGTCTATATAATCAAGAGGTTGTATTTTTTCTCGCGTCTCCTTCCCCTGTTCAGCTGCTGTTTATCCTACACGCGGTTTGCTGCTGCAGGAATTACTGCCAATTTGTGAATGTCTCCACGCACGAATAACATGAAAGTAGGAAGAAATGAACTGTGCATCTTTCTGATTTCTACTCCTTTTCCTCCTGCAGGTTTCTGCCCCCCACTCCTACTTGGGGCCTCGTGTATGCTCCCATGCTGCTGGGCCTGCTGGTGCTGTTAGTGGCAGTGCTGCTGTCCATCGTGATCTCAGTATTGGCATGGAAGAGGAGAAAGATAGAAGAGCATATGAAGGAGATTCAGCTGTGCACGGCCATCTTGGAGAGAGCTGAGCGGTCCAAGAGTGAGGCGGTGGCCAGCACGTCGCATGAGCTGCGCACCCCAATCATTGGCATGATGGGTAAGAGAGGGCATGGCAGGATGGATGGGAGCATGGCATGATGGGTGAGGGAGAGGATAGGTGAGAGAGAGCATGTTATGATGGATGGGAGCATGGCATGGTGGGTGAGGGCATGGCATGGTGGGTGAGGGCATGGCATGGTGGGTGAGGGCATGGCATGGTGGGTGAGGGCATTTCACAATGGGTGAGAGAGCATGGCATGGTGGGCGAGGGGCATGGCATGGTGGGCGAGGTCATGCATCCCATACCAATAGTTCCTCCCTATAATACTGCAAGTGTGTTGAAGGTGCCCATTGAAAAGTAACCTCGTATCCACCCCTGAATGTGCAGCCTTCAAATTGGGATGTGTGCTTTGCCTGCTCTCTACCAGCACCCCTCATTATATCTCTATTTCTCTACACCACAAACCGAGATATGTGTTTTGCCTTCCGTAGGCATGATAGAGGAGCTGCTAGAGTCGCCATTGGAGGAGTGGCAGCGGGCCGACCTGATAGATGCGAGGGCGTGTGCGGGCGAGACGGTGGAGCTAATCAACCGCCAAGCTGCAGGGCCCCCCCTCCCCGCCCCCCTTCCTCCTTCCCCCCCGCCCCCCTTCCTCCTTCCCCCCCGCCCCCACCTCCCCACCCCCCCCCCCCCCTTCCCCTCTTCCCCCCCGCCCCCTCCTCCCGACCCTCCCCCCCTCCCCTCCCAAACAGGCATGATAGAGGAGCTGCTAGACTCGGGGCTGGAGGAGTGGCAGCGGGCAGACCTGATAGATGCGAGGGCGTGTGCAGGTGAGACGGTGGAGCTCATCAACCGAGTGTTGGACCTCGCCAAGCTGCAGGCCGGCAGGCTGCAGCTCGAGACTCTCCCCTGCTGCCTGCGCCGCATCGTTCGCGAGGCGGCCACATCAGTGAAGCGTTCTGCACCACACTCGGTGGATCTGCAAGGTACAATCATGCAGTCAAGTCTACACCTCCACTGGATTTCACAAATTTTTGTGCTTATATGTAGTGTTTCCCTGTTCACTTGTTCATTGCAGTGACGTTTACTGTGGATGACAACGTTCCGACAACTCTATTGGGCGATCCAAGTCGGATTTCGCAAGTCATCACTGAGCTTGTTGGTGAGTTACGGGTTGCAAAAATGTGTACGCGTGCTTCATGGCCCAAGCTATGCATGAGGCAAGGACAATCATCACAGCAACAGGGTTAGTAAACGGAACGGAGAAACCCTTCCTTTGTTACGCATTATTCTGAAAGTGCATAAGCCGCTTGTGCGAGGGAGCTGTTAAGATAGGTTTGAGGGAATTAAGGTTGAGAAAGGCTGACGCAATCACCTGATAAGACAAGGAGTCTGGCAGAAGAGTCGAAGGGAGAGGGTAAGGGTGCCAAGGAGGAAGAATCACGGCATAGCATGAACAGTGAAAGTAATCATGCCAAATTGCCAATGGCATTCACGATGTGAAGTTTTTTTTTTTTTTTTGTTTTTTTTTTTGTTAAGGCAACAAAAGAAGTTGGGATGCCAATGCAATGTCATCAGCAACATCTTTTCCACATGTTGCAGATGCTCCTTTTCTCTGTGCCTCCTCCCTCACACCCTTTCCTCCTGCAGCCAATGCCATGAGCCACACAGCATCTGGCCACGTGGCCATCCGACTCTGGTGCATCCCTCCCCAACATTCTGCTCAAAGGGATTCTGCCCAACATCCTTCATCTTCTCAAAGTACTCCCACAACTCCTCCAGCCGCTACTCCCACGGGCGCCACACAATCTCCAGCCTCCGCTGAGCCGGCCCCGGCGTCCTCAGCGTGGCATCAGCTGGCCGGCTGTGTGCGGCGCTTCCCTCCGCCCACACGCCTTGTCTGCCATCCTCAGCAACCCCCAGCCAGCCAAGTGGGGGCTGTGGGCAAGGAGGGTGGCCGATGGTGGGGGCGGGGAAGACTGCAAGAGAGAGGTGGTGCAGGGAAGGTAGGAGCACACGGGGAGCCAAGAGGCGGTGGAGGGAAGGTGGGAGCACGCGGGGAGCCAAGAGGCGGTGGTGTGGAGGCCAAGGAAGTGGAAGGCACGAGTCAGGCGTGTGGGCAGGCGTGCAGCCAAGACAGCATGGGCAGTGCAGACTGCACTGCAGAGGAGAGGCAGGTTGAAGATGGGCGGTTGGAGGAGGAGGTGAGGGAGTGGGTGGAGGGGGCGTGTGCGGCGAGGGAGGAGGGCGAGTGGATGGTGGTGGTGGCCTGTGAAGACACGGGTGGTGGTATACCACCCGAGGAGCTGCGGTGGGTGCTGGACCCACACGGAGAGTCGTGCCACTCAATGGATGACTCTGAGGAGGATGGCGATCTGAACGGCAAGGGGCAGCAAGGAATCATGGTCAGTGCCTTGTTGTCGCATGCCTTTTGAGGCGCCTCAAAAGGCAGCAAGGAATCATGGTCAGTGCCTTGTTGTCGCATGCCTTGTTGTCGCATGCCTTTTGAGGCGCCTCAAAAGGAAGCGAGGAATCATGGTCAGTGCCTTGTTGTCGCATGCTGACCGTCATTAACGCTTCACCAAGGGCGAACGTATGCATATTCGATTACCAGCTGTGCATCCATCACTAACCTCGCTGAGGGGAGCCTGCGCTGTTGTTCAAAATGCAGCCATGGAGCCAGGAAAGGTTTTGTGTGACTTGCGTTGACTCCTGCCAGGAAAGGTTTTGCGTTGACTTGCATTGAAAGAAGCATCTGCCTGCCAGGGGTGTCTTGTTATTCAAAAACGGAAACCTTAGCTTCCTGACGTAGCTACCATCCATGACGCCACCGGTAATTTGAGCAAACAATGAATGCAAGGGTGTATGGTTGCAAGGCTGATATTTGAAAGGAATCGAGAAAAGGACACATCAGCACGTCACATTGGTCCTCACATCATTGACTTGCAAGGGTGTTTTGGTTTGACTTTCTGTCTGAGCCTGTGAGACAAATAGTCTCGGTGTTCCTTGGTTCAAGGCATCACCTGGGTAAGGAAAACTCTCAAGCAAGTATTCCCTTTCCCGCTGCTCCCCTCCATTCACACACGCGCAAGACTGGCAACCAAGCTGACTATCGCCTGCATCCTTTTTTACCTCGGCTCTTTACGTTTTCTTTGTTTCCTCGCTTCCTCATCTTTCAAACATGTCAGGAGAAAATCACATTGTTTGGGAGGTCAGAACCACGGAAATCAGCAGGGAATTCGTCACCGCTGCGTCAGGAGGAGCGAAGAACGTGGGATCCATTGCAGCGAGATGGCAGGGCAGCTACCGGCCCCCGCTGGACTCCCTACCCTGTTCGCTTCCTGCTCTCCACCTCCCTTGTAAGTGTCTCGATTTCCTCTGTGAGCTGCCTACCATGTTTGTGCAACTGTAGTCGGAGATATTTGCAAGATGTTCGATATACAGAGAAAATGGCCTCAATGTCCCTTGCGAAGTTGTGCCCTCTTCCTCCTCTACCGTTTTCTACCTCTTGCCTGACCTACCTTCCATTTTCCCCACTCTTCTGACCTCCCTTCCAATTTACCCCAAACCCACTGTTTTGATCGACCTTCCAACTCTTCTTACAAAAACTTCCTTTACACCCCTCTTCTGACCTACCTTCCGTTTTCCCCACCTTTCTGACGTACCTTCCACTCTTCTCTCTGTCCTGACCAACCCCCCCATTCCCTCTTTCTCCCCGCATGGCAGTGCTGTTCACTTCATCACTCCCGCACCCCCTTCTCTTCCCCGACCACCACCACTCACCCGGCAGGTGGCGGAGATGCGGGGGGGCATGGCAGTGCTGTCAGACGCCTCCACAGGCACCACCATTCTGCTGGCGCTGCCCATGGGGGGAGGGGAGGACGGAGGCACGGAGGGGCCAGCCAGTGCTGTCACGGCGCAACCAGCAGCACCACAGCAGCTGCAGGCAGCAGGGGCGCGAGCGCTGGTGCATGCGCACTCGGTTCCGCACACGTTTCTGCTGGCGCTGGCCATGGGGGGAGGGGAGGACGCTGGCTGCAGAAGGGGAGTTGGGGAGGGGAGTGAGGAGGGATTAGGGGAGCCACGGGGGGCTGGTGAGGAGCATGTGGGGCGAGAGAGTGGATTGCAGGGGGGCATTGAGGTTCCACCCAGTGCTGTCCCTCAGTCTGCTTTTGCAGCACAACCAGCTTCGCCGCCGCAGCTGCCAGCAGCAGCGGCGCAACCAGCATCGCCGCTGGTGCGTGCACGCACGTTTCCACAAGCGGAGATCGAGCGGGCCGCGAGCAGTGGGGAGGGCGTGGGGGAGGCGGAGCAGGTGGTGTGGGGGGTGGTGGCATGGCGGGAGTGCCGGTGGTGGATGGCAACGCGATGAACCGCATGGTGGCGCGCAGAATGCTGCAAGGATACGGGACGCACGTGCTGCTGCTGTGCTCTAGGGAGGATGTGTTGCACGCGCTCTCCTCTGCTCTTGAGGGGCCTCAACAGATGCTCTCCTCTGCCACGCCCTCCCCGCCCATCCACCTGCTGCTCCTCGACCTCCACATGCCGCCCGGCATCGACGGGTCCGTGCCTTGCCCCCCTCTCCTTCAACCGCTTACATTCCGATAATATCACTGTACTTAATGCTATTGTCATTCATGCTTGTTTGCGATTTTTTCATATCCTGAGTGTGGCTGACCAGTTGCTTGTTGCATTTGTTGTGATTGTGCTTTTGATCACTCATTTGCTTTCATCTCCCCTTCTTCCTTTTGGCACCACCCCTTGGCCCGCCTGTGTACCTGAGATTAGAAACAGCTCGTCGAATACGTGCCATGGAAGATGCGCATCAAATAGAAGTGGAAGCAAGTGCGGCAGAGATACGAGAAGTGTAGATGATGCAAGCGCAGTAAAAATTGTATCCAAGTAACGGCTTTGTATTATTGACTTAAACTGTAGATTTGGATGCGGGGATCAAGAGAGCATGCTTGGAGGCTAGGATGGATGGGGTAGTGAGGAAACCGATAGTGGCTCAGGAGCTTGCTGCAGCACTCTCTGCTGCAGGGTTTGTACGAAGCCATGAGCGTTGACATTACATGCAATATTTTAGGCTCAAGCCTTATCTTGTCAATGTAGAAATATAAATCTCACTCGGGATAAGTCATGAAGGGAACTAACGATGCCATACTTGTACGTTATTATTACATTTGAAAGGTCAGTGCTGATGTTGCTCATCTCATCTAATGCGATGCAATTATGCCAGCACACTAATGGTCATCTGCCTCCCTTGCAAGCCCTTCATTTTGCTCGCCAATTGTGAAGAGGGGATCACCACTCCTCTACATCTACTATAGGGCCCCGTATATATCCCCACCCCCCCAACCCACCCCCTCCTCCCCGCTCCCCCCACTTCCCAGTTTTTTTGCCCTAAGGATTGTAATGAGGCAGGGGCGAAAAGACCATTGCAGATTTCATTCCCCGTCCTCTTTTCGAATATAAAATTTCTATAGATTTACGTCCTTTTCCCACTGTTTTTTCTTCATAAACAGGTAAAAGAGTGTCTAGGATAAGCCTCAGGACGATAAGAATATAGTTGATTGCAAGCCCCAAGCAAGAAAAGGGCCCAAAAACTCAACGCTGATAGGGGCGCCACAGGTTTTCAAAGCCTAGATGATGATGTGCTCACGCATACACGCCCGTGCCTGAGCGATCCACCCTAGGATTATGTCAAAGGGTGGATGCTTCAAGTTTCTTGAGAAGAAGTGCAATGGCAAAGGAATTATTGAAAACGAAAAGAGGAAACACATAAATTCACCAAGGGTCGCAGGGCGTGTTGAACTGAGGATGTGTTTTTTATGAAGGAACAATAGGAGCACAGGTTACGAACCAGCATATGTGAAGGAGTTGAAGCGGTGGTTGAAACCAGTCGTAATCAGACGTATGCCTGGTTTAAAGGAGCGGTTTATGCTCACATCCAGCGGTTGCAGCAACGGCGTGCAACCCACTCAAATGACCGTAGGCAGGATGTTGTTACATCGCAAGTTCCCGAGCACCACATCCGTCAGATGGCAAGGGTAGGAGTCCAAAACTAGTTAGGTTCTTGGCCACATGATGCCTGGAAGAGGCTGGACGAACGGGAGAAACACATGCTTCACCCCGTCTTGCATGAAGGTGGCATCCATACACACACTTTCCTGGTCTCGCACAAGCGCTCCTGCACAACATGCGCAAGACGATTTCATTAAGAATTGTTATGAATTCTTAGCATGGCAAATGAAAACGGCGAAGAGACAGAGTAGGTAGCATGATTCTTACGGGGTGGGACGCGGATGTAGGGGACTGATTTCCTCTTGCAAATCAACATCAGGGGAAGCTTCTCCCCAGTCTATACCGAGCATGATGGGGACTCTCTTTTTCTTGTGACTAACACTTTGGGACATGCATGGTTCGCCATGGTGGTGCAAGATGCGATCACTCGACAACTTGAGAAACATATACAAAGTGGTTTGTGAAGAATAGAACGAGGAATGATTGCATTGAGCAGCACGAGGAGTACAAGTAGGAAACCCTAAAATGTTGTACCCCATAGGAACTACCCCACTACAGCCTATACAGACTATAGAATATAAGTTTGTCACACCCCCATAGGCAAAGTGGGGGAGAACAAGTGGTCACAAGACCAGTCAAGAAAGGCAAAGCAAGCTCAGGGTGGATCACGACGTCACCACGCATTCTGAGCACAAGTAAATGGCCACAATGTCAGTTCACATGCAGAGTTATATAAAGGAGAACAAGCAATACAGTGATCACAACCTAGCAAGTGTAAGCATGCAGGTATATGTATAGAGATCACAGTACAAGCAGAGTCAAGAAGTAAGCAAGTGAGGCACAGTAGGCACAAGGCCTAGAACAGTACAGAAACGCTGATGATCACAAGGCTGAAGTGCCTTGGTGAAGACATCAGCAGTGTTGGCCCGAGTGGCCACGTCAGCAAGACGAAGCTGACCACGCTGCTGCAACTCTCGAGCAAGGAAGTAGCGCAGAGCAATGTGCTTCGTTCTGTGCTCCAGTCTGTGCTCCTGACACAAGGCAATCATGGCCTTGTTGTCAACGTACAGCACTGGAGGAGAACGAGGCGGCTCTCCCAGGTTGGTCAGCAGGTAGGTGAGCCAGCGTAACTCCTGTGCAGCCATGGCCCCTGCGTAGATCTCAGCCTCACAACTGGAGCTGAGAACAGAAGACGAGCGGATAGACCGCCAAGAAACAAAGCCGGAGCCAAGACTGAAGGTGTAACCCTGTGACGACCGCTGCGTAGCCAAGTCGTCAGCCCAGGAAGCGTCTGCGTGACCAGTGAGGACAACTCGAGTCCGTCCTCCAGGCACGAGCCCCATGCCCGACGTACTGCACAAGTAGCGCAACACCCTCTTAGCGGCATCCATGTGCTCCTTCCGATGTCTCCCAGGAGCGACATAGCGTGCCAGAATGCTAAGAGGGTAGGCAAGGTCAGGTCGAGTGCAGGTCATCAGGTACATGAGGCAGCCCACAAGCTCTAGGTACAGGCCACTCGGCTCTACGGACTCGTCTGAAGGTGGATCTGAGAGCGAGTGGCGAGTAGGCAGAGGAGTGTGCTGTGGCGAGGAGTACGTGAAGCCGAAGCGCTGAAGGACCAGCTGCACCATGTGTGACTAAGTCAGGGTAATGGTGCGCTGTGCTCTGTCCCGGGTGATCCGCAAGCCAAGATAGCTTGTGAGCTCACCCAGGTCTGTGCACGTGTGTCTCTTCTGCAGCTCCGACTTCACGTGGGCGAGTCCCTCAGTGTCAGAAGTAGCAAAGACCCAGTGAAGCCAGGTGGGCGGCGCAGCCAGATCTCCTCGTGCAGGCTGCCCTGTAGGAAAGCAGTGCTGAAGTCAAGAGAGTGAAGCTCGTAGTCACGCTGAGCGGCGACGTGCAGCAGAACCCGAAGAGTGGTCATCTTCGGGGTAGAGGAGAAGGTCTGGAAGAAGTCAACTCCCTCTCGCTGACTGAAGCCTCGTGCAACGTAACGCGCCTTGAAGATAGGCGGAGAACCCGGCGGCCGCTTCACCCTGAAAACCCACATGCCACTGACGATGTTCGCCCCAGGCGGGGGAACCTCGTCGACGTAGGTGCCTGTGGACTTCCAGGAAGCCATCTCTGCGTCCATGGCTGTCTGCCACTGAGAGGAGTAGGGACCCTCTATCGCCTCTGCGTAAGAGCGCGGGGTCGGGATGTCTGGTGCATCCGGGTCTCCCTCAGGGGTAAGCAGCATGGACACGAGATGAGGTAAAGCAGTGGCAAAGCACTCAACCTCCTCATGTCTGTCCTCAGGAAAATCCGTGCTAAGGGCACACTCACCCCCGACGGACGGAGGACAGACAGACTCAGACTCAGACTCAGCAACAAGACTAGCGGCGTAGTCTAGACGACAGGCGGCAGCAAAGTCAACAAGCTCAGCAACTAGAGCAGACGCAGCAGTGGACTCAAACGAAGGGTCAGTGACAACAATGGCCAGGAGACGCGTGACAGTAGGACTAGAAGCACGAAGGGAGTCAGACTCCGGGTCGGGACCGTCAGGAAGAAAGGACGCAGGAGGAGACGGCAGAGGGACACGCTGCGGAGCAGTGGAAGGACGAAGTGCCATCAGGTGTGTGCCGGGGACAGCGGGAGGACGCTGACGCGGAACACGACGACCAGTGCGGACAGCGCGAACAGGCGACGCAGGACGAGACTCAGGTGACGCAGGACGAGACTCTGGCGCACGACGCTCCGTAAGACCCCTAGTCGGCCCAGAGTAAGGAGAAGGACCAGGTAGTGGAGAGGGTGGCTGTAACTGTGACTGCGACTAGTCAAGCTGTGGACTCAGCAAGGGAGGAGGAGGACCAGTGGAAAGCGGGAGGCCAAGAACCTGCTGAAGGAGCGGAACGTAGTACGGCCGCGGTCGCGCAGCGCCTCCAGAAACAGCAGAGACAGCACCAGTACCCCCTGCTCCAGGGTCTCCAGCTCCAACTCCCGCAGCACCACCAGCTCCAGCACCTCCAACAGCTCCAGCTCCAGTAGCACCTCCAGTAGCAACAGCTCCAGCACCTCCAGCTCCAACACCCGCAGCACCACCAGCCCCAGCAGCTCCAGTACCTCCAGTACGAGCACCTCCAGGACCAGCGGCTCCAGCACCTCCAGCAGCTCCAGCACCAGCAGTACCTCCAGCTGCTCCAGCAACTCCAGCAGCTCCAGCACCAGCCATACCTCCAGCAGCTCCAGCAGCTCCAGTAGCACCTCGCTGGAGTCTTCAGCGGCGAGCAAACCACTCGCGCAGCTCCGGTGGAGAGAGAGGCTCCCGCCGAGACGAGGCACCTGCAGTAACTCCAGTAGGCTCAGCACCCCCAGTCTCAGCAACCACTGGCTCAGCACCCCCAGGCTCAGCACCCCCAGACTCAGCACCCCCAGGCTCCGCACCCTCAGACTCAGCAAACCCAGGTGCAGCACCCCCAGGCTCCACACACTCAGGCTCAGCACCCCCACGCTCCACACGCTCAGGCTCAGCACCCCCAGCAGCACCACCCCCAGTAGCAGCACGAGAGTCAACCGCTACCTCGACAGGCTCGACAGCGTCTACC